AAATGCTACTGTATCAGATTATTTTCTTTTTCAGTCATATTAATAATAATGTCCACTTTTGAGGGTTTTGTTGTTGTTGCTCAGTCTTGTTAGAAATTTGCCTGTTAATCCTTTCAAACAACCAGCTTCTGTTACATTGTTTCTCTGTCTTGTATTTATTAGCCTCTGCCCTTATGTTTGTTTCCTTTTCCTTCTCCTTTTCATTGATTTAGTTTTTTGTTCATTTTTAGTTTTGTTGTTAAAGTTTTTAACTCCATTTCAATATTTTTTATTCCATTTAAAATGTTTTTTAAAGTACATTTAAGATAATGCCTTCACCTTGAAATGCTACTCTAGTTCCACCCTTACATGCTGTTTTTTCATACCTTTTGTGCTTTCCTCCTTTAACTTGTCAATTATTTGTAAACTGAGTTTCAAGTGTATTAACATTTGGGATTATCTAGGATAACTTTTTACTGTTAATGTTTAATTTAATGTCGTTTGGACAGATAACATGATAGAATGCATACGATTTTTTTTTTCTTTGAAACTGTTGAGATCTCTTTGTTGCCCCAGTTCATGGTCAAGTTAAACAAATTATTGAATGGAAAAGAATGTAGCTGCTTATGAGGAATAGGGTTCTATACATGGCAAATAGAGCAAGCTTGTTAATCTTTTGATTTCAAAATTATACGCAAATATAAAAGCATAAACCATAAAGGAAACGTTTAAAAATATATAATTACATTTTTAAAAATTACCTCCTGTTAACTTTGGTTTTGTCTACTTGATCTGCTTCTAAGAGAGTCCTGTTATAGTCCTCCTATCATTGTGGTTTTACCGAGTTTTGCTAATAATTCTGTTATAGTTTCTCCTCATGTATTTTGTGGCTGTGTATTTAGCTGCACCTGAGTTTTGTATTGCCTCATGTCCTTGCCAGATTGTTCCTTCAATTCTGATATAGTATCTCTCCTTTCTCTATGAATGATTTCTGCCTTATTTTATTTTGCTTGATTTCTTTTAGTTAGTTTTCCTGCAAGATCTTTTTTTAATCCCTTCATTTTTAACCTTTCTGAATGCGTGTATCTGTGTTTGTGTTCACATGCTTCCTTTAAACATCTGGATTCTTTTTTTCTGAGACAGAGTCTCACTCTGTCACCTGGGCTAGAGTGCAGTGGCATGATCATAGCTCACTGCAACCTCAAACTCCTACGCTCAAGCGATCCTCCTGCCTCAGTCTCCTGAGTAGCTGGGACTACAGGCCCATGCCACCATGCCCAGCTAATTTTTTCTATTTTTAATAGAGATGGGGTCTTGCTGTTGCTCAGGCTGGTCTTGAACTCCTGACCTCAAGCGATCCTCCCACTTTGGCCTTCCAGAGTGCTAGGATTACAGGCGTGAGCCACCACACCTGGCCTACAGCTTGAAATTTTTAATCCAATATTTTAGTCTCTAACTTTTCATAGGAAAATTGAATTCATTTACATTTATCATAATGCCTACTATATTGAAACTATTTGCATTGTCTTATTTTGTGGTTAGCATTTGTTGTTTTCCTTTTCTTTGCTCTTTCTTTATTGCTTTCCTACTTTTGGCTAGTGTTTTTGATGTTTCCTTTTGTTTTACTGCTGGCTGAGAAGCCACAAACTATATTTCTATTCTTTTAGTAGTTATTAATACATTTTAAGATTATTACTTAATCATAATTTTTTTCTAATATATTTTAATTTTCACAGCAATGCTGTGGGATAGGTATTATTATTTTCTTCATATAAATGAAAAAAGTGATAATCAGAGAGGTAAAGCAACTGATCCAGGATCATATAGCCAATAAGTGCCCTGAATAGATTTTAAATGAAGTCTATATTATTTGAAAGTCCATAATTTTTAAAATCTAACACCATTCTGCTTGAAAGGGATAAGGTCCAGTTAGGTAGAACCATACTTCAGTGGGTTATCTTTTTTCCATAGTGTCATCAGGCAGCTCAGAAACCTTTGGCAACACACATTCTCTTCCCAAGCCTCAGTTTCCCCTTCTTTAAAGTGGCTTGATTATTGCTAACAGCACTTCTAGATCATATTTTAATGATGCTTCGGAGAGTTCTTTGACAATGGATATTTAACAACTGCCCCAAATAATTTGCCTGTATGATAAATGGTGAACCAAGGTTTGAATATAGTTTCCCACAGCAGCACTAAGCATCATTTAGATTTATTGGTTAATTATTCACCATCTTTATCCAAGTTTGAATCTTTGTGCTGCAAACTGGGAACTCACAGAATGACATTTATTTCTCATTAACCTAATGAGGGTTTTTTTTGCCCTCCTCTCTTATAGCAATTCATTATAAAGGGGAGGATGACTGGTCTGCGATTTTGTTGTGAATTTTGTTTGCGATGCTCTCTCTGAAAAGGAGAGGGTGCTAGCATTTCCAGGGGCTTTCTGGCAGTGAAGATCGTAGAACTTGGGCCGTCTCTACAGTGGGGTCAGTGCCAACATCAGGGAAGGTCTCTGACGTGGGAATGTCTCTGATGCTGACTCACCCTATGGGGGAGTTAAAGGCACTGTAGGGTGTGCAGAGCACAAGCAGATGTGAGTATAAGAACCATGCAATGCCCACTGCTTGTGTTTAGCCATGGTACAAATCTGGGCTCCGGAGTAAGTAAATCTGGGTTCAGCTCATAGCACTGGGCACTGTGGTGTAGTGGTTAGAGGTTTGCGTTCTAATGCTGAGCTGCCTGGGTTCAAATCCCTCTACAGCCGTTGAGTAGCAGTGTGACCTTGGGCTGATCACTTTCCCTCTCTGTGTCACTTTTATGAGCTACCCTTCCATTTCCCCATGACAGTATATACTTAAGAGCCCTGGGTAACTTCTCTCACTTTGTGACCTGCCCCCTCTGTGGGGTTTTATATCCTCACCCAGAAGTGCACATACCAGACTGTTCCTCTCCTCTCTGTCTTTGCTCACGCGGTGCCTTCTACCTGCAATGCCTTTCCTGAACCTCCCCCAGCTAGGAGCAGCTCGCTTCTACTGCCCCCTGCCACTCCAGCCTGAGCTAGCTGATGCTCCTCTGTGCCTCCAGGGCAAAACATACCTGTCTCATGAAATATTTTACTAAAATTACCTCTTTCCAGCCAGAAAAGCAGGATTCCTATCCCAACTCTGCCCCTTACTAGCTGTGTGATCTCTGGCAAATGACTTCATCTCTGTAAGCTTCAGTTTCATCATCTGTAAAATGGGACTCATCGTACTACAACCCCACTGAGTCGTCACGATGGCTAAACGCGTTAATCACCGCAAAGTGTTTACAACAGTGTATGACACTTAGAAAGTGTCTATAAATGTAAGCTATTACTGCATTTGTGAAGGTAATAATAATAATGTCTACTTTTAAGAGATTGTCAAAGGAGTTAAATGCAATAACATGTGACAAAGAGCGTGGCACTGTGCCCAGCCCTCAGCTCAGTTCAGCAGGTGATGAGAGAGAGGATTTTAAATGTACCAAAGCCGTACATCTCAGAAAAAGGGCTATATTCTAAGAACCAACTCATTTTTCAAATAATTCAAAACCTGCCATAAAGAAATAGGAATATGAAATCTAGAGGAACCGCATTCTAGGTCATCAGACGATACTCATAATCCTTTATGTTTGTAAAGCACTCAACAGCGTACAAAGTGCTTTGTGATCCTTTATCACGTCTGATCCTTGTCTTATCTCAACATGAAGGACAGGGATTTTTTTTTTAACCTCTCTTTTTATAGACAAGAAAACTCAGGTTCAGAGAGGTGGCGCGATTCAGTCAAGTTTCCCACCATCAGCAAATGATAAGCCAGAGTTTAAAGCCAGTTCATCTTATTCTCAACCCCACATTCTTTCTAGAATATTCTGGGGCATTCTGAGCATCGCAGAAAACAGGTAGCATTTGGCATGGAGGCACTGATTTCTAGGCGTGTGGAAACCAGTCCCAGAGTTGAGGCACCTGCACCCCCTGTCTTTAAGACTCAGCGTCTGGTGTGTGGGGCTGTGTTCTTCCCCACGGTCTCTCGAAAAGTCCAAGAAGGGGGCTGTTAGTTTCTTTCGGGGACCCTGGCACACTGTGTTTTAAGTCAACGCTGGTTCCAGAGGAGCCCGCAGGCTGTTGGAATTTCATGCGGGGCCCCGTGTAATCCTGCCCCTCCTCTGCTTTGTCTCAGCCTGTAATTTTGGCCACTGCAAGTTGTCAAGAAGTCTAAGGTCACAATCCTGGTGCCCAGTCCAGGATGTGGCTTCTTCAGGACCCGCTTGACAACTGTCCCCTACCAATTCAGGATTCTGGGTGAAGGAATGTGCTCACCTCTGGGTAAGGTCTCTCTGCAGAAAATGATCTCATCTGCCTGTCCTTAAACTGGGAAAGTGGGACCAGCTCAAAGGACAGAAAAGATTGCTAATTAGATCTTCAAAAGGAACATGGTTACTATTCACTGATGTGTAACGTACATGCAGAGACGCATGCCATATCCCACGTGTACAGCTCAACGAATTTCCATAAATTCATAAAAAAGCACAAAATTGCAGATCAATAATATTAATAACCCCCAGAAGTCCCCCTCATGCCCTGTCCAGCCCAGGGCTGTCTTGACTTCTACCAGCAGAAATGGCCAGAAGAAGAGGGACAGGCTCTTACGAGATGAGGTGGGGTCATATTGATGACTTTGGTGCAAAAAATGGGACAGAGTGACTTTGGATCCATACAGGCTGTGATAACAGTGATGATAGCAACACTGTTTGTTTTACTTTGACTCTGCGTTGGGCACTGGGCTAAGCATGTATGTGATTTTCACAGCAGCCCTGTGTGGTCAGTACCAGTCCCATTTTACAGATGAAGAAACTGAGGCTCAGGGAGGAGATGGATCTCGTCCAAGATCATACAGTGGGGGTGACTGATGCAGGATTTGAACTTAGGGAGGCTGGATCCAGAAAACGTGGACCCTTGCCACGGCTTTGTCATCTAAGCTCACGAACCTTCCATTGGCTTCCAGATCGGCCATCGGGATTTTGATGTGGAGAAGCGTCTTCGGAGGGACCTGAAGAGGACGCACGCGCTGTTGGCAGACGTGCAGCTCCTTCTGGGCACCATGGAGGACAGCAAGACGTCGGTCAGCAAGGAGGAGCTGGAGAAGGTGCACAGCCAGGTGGGTGCCGTGGGGTCCGCGGGAGCCGAGCTGGGAAGGATGCTGCAGCCAGGGGAGAACGGCTCTCCCTGCAGGCAGGGGCAGGGCCATGGCGTCGACCTCCGAGTTCACAGACCTGCAGAGAGATGGGGGACATTGCAGGGCGGGGAGCGTTATGTGGCTGTGGCAGGTGAGGAGGGGGAGTCTAAGGAGGCGTCCTGTCCCCTCCTTCAGAGCTGAGGCAGAATGCGTCTGTCTGGAGGGCCTGGGCAGAGCAGTGCCCGGGCCAGGAGGGCTGAGGGCAGCATCTGTGTGTGTGTGTTTGGTGACCACCATGGCTGGATATGAACCACATAGCAATAGCGCCAGTAAACAAAGCCAACTCTTAACAACAGCAACAGTGATGACAAACAATAGCCGTTTGCTTGTGAGAATGATGTTGATCGAGATAGGATGTTGACCACTGACGGCCGCTCTCTGGAGCCCTCACCCGGAGTGGGGTCCTCTGTATCCGCCCTATGTGTTGTCTCGTGGTGTTCTCACGACAGCGGAGTGGGGTGAGAATCATAGACTTTACTTCACAGAAGTGTGAAGTGATCCACCCAGAGTCACACAGCTCGAAAGTGGCAGTGCCAGGATTCGAACCCAGGTCTTCAGGCTCCACCATCCCTTGCTGCCTCGGAGGAGGGCAGGAGCGCAGTTCTCAGGGTGGATGGGAGGTGCAGCCAGGGCGGGAACTGGGAACCTGGGGAGACCTGATGAGTGTGGTTTTCCAGCTGCAGACCGTGGCCCGGGGCGGCTGGTGTCGAGAGCTGTGAATGGATTCTGCAGGGTGGCTCGAGCCCTGGAGAGAGAGGTCCCAGAGCCAAAGGATGTAGCAGGGACTCAGGCTTTGCTGCCAGTCCCCACAGGGAGCTGAAGACACCTGGGGAGGCTCCGAGCCCTGCGGGACTATTGTGCCCGTGCGTGTGGTGTTACCCTCTCAGTCACGCACGTCCCTTGCCTGGGCCATTCTTGCTGAGCCTTCACCACCTCCCTTTCTTGGAGGGTTGGCATCCCTTCCTCCTTCTTCTCTGGTCTTGTGTCATCTGGCCTTAGCCATGCCACACGGCCGGGGGCAGCTTTATCTTCACGATGTATCCCCAGAAACTCAGACAGGTAATCTGACTCGCCAGCGAAACTGCAAGCTTCCCGAGGGCAGGAACTAGGTTTCATTCATCTCTGCTGATGCCCGCTTAGTCTTTTGCACATAATAGGTACTTTTCCGTTGAGTTCCATTGGCTCGTGCACCTCATTTATAGATGAGGAGACTGAGGGTCAGAGCGGCCTGAGGTCACATGGCCAGCCAGAGGCTGAACCAGGCCTGGAACCCACATCTCCTGACTCCAAACCTGGTCCTCTTCTCTTATCCTTTTGGAAAAACAGCTCACGATGGTCAGTAGGTCCCCAGGAAGGCAGCGGGAGGCAGCAGAGTATAGCGCCAGGTGTTAGAAATTGAAATTCCAGAGTTTCTACTTGCTTCCAGTCTCTGGTGTCAGTTTCTATCTATAAAACAAAACATTTCAGGTAGAGCTTATTCGCTTAACTGGATCTTAAACAAAAAACAAAAGACAAAAAAAATAAAAACTAATTTCAGATTTGATTTGGATCTCACCCACCCCGGGTACCGCACTGTATTCAGTTGCCATGGTTGCCCTGTCTCCTCCGGTCTGGGGCAGTTTCCCAGGCTTGCCGTTTTTTCATGACCTTGACAGTTCGAAGGAGAACTGACCAGGTATCCTGTAGAATGCCCCCCAAGCTAGGATTGTCTGGTGGTTTTCTCACGATGAGACCAAGTTTATGGGTTTTGGGAAAGAACACTGTAGCAGTGAAGTACCTTAAACCAGAGGACATCTCGGGGCCCTTCCATCTTAAAACTCTGCAATTCTTAGCCATCACCTTTGTCCTGTTGTCCCCTTCTGGAGTGACCAATCCTGGCTTCTCTGGGACTTTCCTGGTTTTAGTGCTGAAAATCCTGCGTCCTGGGCAAGCCAGGATGTTTGGTCACTCTATGCTGTATGGCCATGTCGGAACTCCAGAATCAGGCTGGGGGCGTTGGCTCATGCCTATAATCCCAGCACTTTGGGAGGTTGAAGGCAGTAGGATCGCTTGAGGCCAGGAGTTCGAGACCAGCCTGGGCAACATAGCAAGACTCCATCTCCACAAAAAATTTAAACATTAGCTGGGCGTGGTGTCACATGCTCGTCCCAGCTCCTTGGGAGGCTGAGGCAGGAGGACCACTTGAGCCCTGGAGTTCAAGGCTGCAGCGTGCTGTGATCATGCCACTGAACTGCAGCCTGGGTGACAGAACGAGGCCCTGACTCAAAAAAAAAAAAAAAAAAAGCCAGAACTACGGGTGCTTGAATGCATCCCCTCACTTAATCCTCAAGTGGATGTGGTATTGTGCCCATTTTACAGATGGGGCAATTTTGTCCAGAGGTGGCAAGCGGTGTGCCCTAGGTAGCACAGCAGGTAAATGGCAGAGCCAGGATCCAAATCCAGAGTTTTGTGATTCTAAGTGCAGAATGTGGAGGTTCTTTTGCCTCCCGTTGCGTCTTCTTGCCTGTTTGGCTGACCAGGTGGGTGGGGAAGCTTGAGCCTATTGTCTTGCCTCGGGTGGGCAGTGGAGCTGTCCCAGTGCTGGGCCCGAGGCTAGGCGCCTTGAGTTCGTGCAGCCCTCTTGGTAGAAGGCCACGTGCCTGTCCATCTTCTATCAAAATGTTCCCGAAGTCACAGCCCCAAGCCTCCCCTGCCCCCACAGGTGGATGTTCTTGAAAAGGAACCAGGGTGGTTTTGTTTCCTTTTTCTTTCTTCTTTCTTTTTCTTTAGTATTCATGAGCATTCTCCCTCTGCAGGGTTAAAATGTGTGTTCTTGGGAAATAGTGGTATTTAATGAAGGCGCTTTGAGCCGAATCAAAGAGCATCATTCTTCTGAAAGTCCTTCTTCCCGGTCTCTGCATCCGGCTCCTATCAAAGGGAATCCACAGCCTTGGCTTTCTGTTGCTGTTGTCATGGAAATCGTTATAAGGATGGGATCGCGTGGACCAGAGGTCAGGGTACAGTTGCTTTGGCTCCCAGCACACGTGTCCCGGATGCCAGAGTCAGAGCTAATCAAATAAAGCAGTGATGACATTGGGCATTGCCGCATCTCGTCTCTGTTGTACGGTATTTGTCCTTTGCCTGAAGGCTGCGTGGATGCAGGCAGGGGAAGCAGACAGGAGGGGGAAGGGAGAGCGAGCTAACTCCCTCTGGCTGCGTCTTAAGTGCTGGGTATGGTGTGAACAATTCATGCATCGGGCATTGACGCAGCACCTACTGTGCGTCAGGCGACAGGCTAGGTACCAGTACGGCGGTTAGTAAGACAGATGTGGTACCCACCCTGCTGGAACTTACTCCCGATGGAAAAGAAGAAAGACAATGACACAAATACACAAAATCATTCCACACCTTAATTTGAGTGAGAAAGGAAAATAAACGGGGCCCCAGAGTAGGGAACTGCAGGGGGTCTTGTTTAGCTTGGGAATCGGCTACAGTGTCCTGGGGGAAGGAGGAGCAGGAAGGGACTGGAACGTGCAGGGCCTGGAAGATTGGGATTTTATTCCAGAGGTGGTGAGGAGGCACCGGGAGATGCTGAGCAGAGCATGACGGAGTCTGATTCATGTTTTGGAGGATCGTTCTTCTGTGTGCAGAAGGGACTGTGGAGGGAGGAGTGGGCGTGCTTCTCGGAGGATGATACGCCCTTTTAGGCCAGAGGAAGTGGTCACCTGGGTTAGGGGGTGCTGATGGAGATGGCGAGAAGGGACAGACTTGGAGCCGCCGAAGTGGAATTGCCGGGACTTACAAATAAGATTTGATGACAACAATTAAGTGTGCTATTTTAGATAATCCTTGCCATAACCTTAGGAGGTAGATATTCCTATTTTTGACCCATTTTACTAATGAGGAGACAGACTCTGAGAGGGCGAGTAATTTACCCAAGGACACACAGCAATGCATGTCCAGAAGCTGTAAATGCCAACAGTCCCGTACCCTTGCAACTTGGTTTACCCGCTATGGTTCCTAGTAACTTTTATTAAGCACTTACTAGGTGCCAGGCTTTTTCTTAGTGTCTTGGGGGCCCTGAAACTTGGGTACACATCAGAGAACTTAAGCACCATCTAAAACATCACAGATTTCTAGATCCTACCCCCTAGATACCCTTTTCGAATGCACCTGTTAGAGAACCGCATTCATTCTGCCAATATTGATACAGCCTCCTCTCCAGGATGAATTTGGGGCCAAACTTCAGGGATAAAGAGGAGATGACAAAGTCCCTTCCCCTGAGGGGCTCCCAGTTCTAGAGGCAGATTATAGGAGGACAGTGAGGAACTCTATACTGGAGGAATATTTGAGTTTAGTTAAAGAGGAAGCCTTTAATTTTGCTTTGGGAGGGGAGCTGGTAGCTTTGGCTGTCTCTGTAAAGATAGGAGTGAATTGCTGGTTAGATAAGATACATGTGGGCTTTCTAAGAAGGAAGCAGCCGAGCATGAAAGGGCAGAAGCCCGTGGAGACAGAAAGTACATTCAGTCCGGTGTGGCGCAGATGGAGTATAGGTGCCAGAGGGTAAGGACAGGGAAGATCTGCCTGTAACGGAGGCTGGAGCCGGCTCGTGAATGGTTTGGTGAACCAGGCTAAGGAGTTGGCGCTTTATCCCAGAGTCATAGGGAGCCATAGAAAGCTATGGAGCAGAGGAGGACATAGCCAGAAAAGCTTGTAAAAAATGGCAGGGTTCCAGTTCCCCAGATAAAGCACTGAAACCCTGATGTATGGAATATCAGGCAGAACCGGCAGCAGGAGAAGGTCCTTTAGCCAGAGCCTCTTCTCTCCTTGCGGGCAGGCACTCCCTCCGCCCATTGCCCCACATCTAGAGAATCATATGTCTCTTTCCGCCCAGTTTTCCTCCACTGGGAGCCTTGGATATATCTCAGTTAACACCTGAGGCT